CCCCATTTATGTTTGTCTGTTTCCTAAAATAATAATGATATAATTAAAAAATATATATAAATATAAATAAATAAAATAAAAAAAAACTATATATATTTATAATTTAGCTTACACAATTCACCTAGAGTGCATGTCTCTGGACTTACAGAAACTGGAGCACCCAGAGGAAACCCACATGAACCCAGAGAGAACATGCAAACTCCACACAGAAATGCCAACTGACCCAGCCGGGGCTTGAAATAGCGACCTTCTTGCCATGAGGTGATTGTGCTACCCACTGCCCCACCGTACTGCCCATATAATTTTGTAGTTTTTTTATAATAAAACATAATTTATATGTTTTTATTTTTATTTTATATTACATGTAAAATTTTAGGTCTTTTTAGGTCTTAACATTTTTATTCTCAAGAAGACTATATAAATTCAATGATTTATATAGGCTATTTGAAAGAAAGAAAGAAAGAAAGAAAGAAAGGTAATTAAAAAAGATTTAAAAAGGTGGTAACGAATCTGAGGACAAAAAAGTATGTTTTTATTAACTATTTTTAATATTTAGGCCTCAATAATATACTATAATATGGACTATAATATACAATAAAATATAATAATAATAAAATACTAAAATAACACACAATGATATAGACTTCAGCAATAACTATGAAAAAGGACACCCACTTCCTTTAGGATTACCATATCAATTTATATTCCTTTAGCAACAAAACCACAGCACGGACTGCAACACAATACTAAGCGATCCTCAGTCTATTGTGTAGGTGATCTGTTGTGTTCTGTGGCCCTCACAAAAGCCTCTCTTTTACACTGCTGCGCCACAAACAAGTTTAGACAGGTTGGCAGTGCTGTAGCATATAGACAGACTCTCATAGCACAACAATCCGAAGAGAACAATGCCTTTCAGTCAAATGTTTCTTATGGGAGCATCAGTCTTTCACATACACACTGGTTATGATCAGGGAGAATTTAAAAAGCACCACAGGTCAAAGGTGGTTGTCCTTGGGCTAATCAGTTTGCATTCCCATCAGTATTACTTCAGTCTCTTACGAAATCTGTGATAGAGATACTGGGGACAGTCCCACTCTTTTTTGATGTCTGCTTGTCACCGACTGAAAATATATATGCAAAATATATAGCTACAAAATGTATGTGTGTGTGTGTGTGTGTGTGTGTGTGTGTATACATATGTATGTATGTATGTATGTATGTATGCATGTATGTATGTATGTATGTATGTATGTATATATATATATATATATATATATATATATATATATATATATATATATATATATATATATATATACATAGATATATATATATAGAATAGTGATATACATATAATAACTTACACATGGACGAGTGAACACTTATTTACATGTTATTTTTATGCTCTGTATCCAAAACGTCCGGGGAGGACGTTCAGTGAAGTAAATGGTAGTTCATAAATCTGCATTTTTTCATTCTCAAGTGATACCGTACTTTGT